TATTTTTCATGATGTCTTATCACATTTCCGAAATACGTAAGTTTGTGAAATTTGATCATCGATATGGATAGTATGCTTTTTGTGATATACCTGCATATTTTATGCATTTTTAACGTCAATAGCAACCAAAACGCATTTTTCTTACTACTGTACCTGCCGCTATCGGTTGCTTCTGCTAGCTGTACCACTGCACTAAGTATGTCTATGGTAGGCTTTCGCTCTCCAAATCGATTGTCAGGGATACAGTTGTTCTACTTATACATATCATCTAAAATCCAAAAAACATGCTCGTCAGTTGACGTAGATTCCGGTGGGTTCAGCGTGGCAACGCCGCCCGGATGAAATGGTATTGATCGTGGAAATGATGGTGGCCGAGGTGCAGCCGGACCATCGAAAGCTTTTCGGGGAAAAATTACGGCACTCGCTCCAGACACTGCCAAGGATGCCAGGATGGGATGCGATAGCTGACATTCCCTTATATAATGATACACACCCTGGCCCGAAGAGCCCCTTTTGTCATCCAAAAAAAAGGCACGCTTGTAGGATTGTTTCCATCACGGATTAAAACAAAGCAAAATGTACGTGTCTCGTTTTAACCAAACAAGAAATTTCTGAAATCTGCTCATTTTTAAATGCACTGCTAAGGAAAGGTTCAAGAACTTCACACACACACATCCTGTCCTAACAATCTTGTTCTTCCATATTACCTAAAACAAGCCATCAAGTAGGTTGACCCCGCGCTTTCCACACAACGCCATCGTCCTGATTTTGCTGGATCAGAAAAAAGATAACCACGAACATGTATAATGAAGGAGTCAGTCATATAAACACCTACAACTAGTCCCTAGTCTCCACATATTTGACAACATATCGATCTATAAATTTCTATATATAAATATATATATATATATATATATACTAAGTGACATATAAATCCGAACACCCAGTTTAAATGGTTTTATTTTAATAAAAGTTGGTGAATGTATTTATCTTACTGTAAATAACAAGTGAAAAAATTTTCAGCCTTATCAGTTGGACATTCCGGTTTTTATACTGCTTTTTTTTAATTCACTAACGCTCTAAAAATGAATATTTCAGCCGCAGTAAAGAATCAACGTTGGCGGATTTTGGTTCTTGACATCCTTTACGATCGGTTACGATGCCTAGAGTACGGAGACCTGTACGATTTCGTCAACTTAGTGAGTTTGATAGGGGCCGTATAGTGGGACTTCGGGCAGCTGGACTTTCTTTTCGGGCAATTGCAGTTAGAGTGCAAAGAAGTGTAGACACTGTGGTTAGGGGTTGTCAGGCATGGCTTCGAGAAGGCCGTACGCAAAGAGCAAGGGGCACTGGACGCCGCCGTAGAACAACAGACCGTGAAGATCGCCACCTAAGATTATTGGCCTTAAGGGACCGTTTCTCCACTACCAGGTCCATTGCAAATGAATGGTTTGCAAAACACGGAAGACCTATTGGCATGCGAAGTGTTTACCGACGAATGAAAAGTTTTGGCTTGTTTTCATACCCGCCATACTGGGTGCTCCCTTTAACTCGAGAACACCGACGTAATCGCCTTGAGTGGTGCAGACAACGGTCACTCTGGGATCAGGAATGGAACAGTATTGTCTTTAGTGACGAGTCTCGATTTTGTTTAGGCATGCACGATGGTCGTGCCAGGGTTAGAAGGCGACTTGGTGAAAGGAGGAATCCACAGTTTTTTGTTGAAAGACATGTTCATCACACTGTTGGAGTTATGGTTTGGGGTGCTATAGCTTATGGTTCCAGGTCACCTTTAATCTTCATCAGAGGTAACATGAACGCGCAGCGTTATATCCACGAAGTTCTAGAACCCCATCTTTCACCCTATCTTGACACCCTGGCAGATCCAACTTTGCAACAGGATAATGCCCGACCACATGTTGCAAGAGTCACAATAGACTTCTTTCAACATAATAATGTCACATTGTTACCATGGCCACCAAGATCTCCCGACTAATCCCCAATTGAGCACGTGTGGGATATGATGGGTAGGAGATTGCTCAATTTGCAACGTCCTCCTCAGACTCTAGAAGCACTTCGAGAGCAGTTGGTGGTTGCCTGGAATGAGATACCACAGGAGGACATTGACCACCTGATCAGAAGCATGCCTAGGCGCGTTGGAGAATGCGTAGCACATCAGGGTGCATCCACACATTATTAAAGGTCAAAGGACTTTAAAGCAGTGCAATCATTTTGAAATTTTTATCATTTACTTATTATGCTTCATTCAGTACTTATACAAAATTTTATTAAAATAAAACCATTTAAACTGGGTGTTCGGATTTATATGTCACTTAGTATATATATATATATATGAGTTTGTATGTCAGATATATAAACAGCTCGATATCAATAAATGTATCGCGGGCATCTTTTTTGACCTATCGAAAGCTTTCGATACAATTGACATTGGACTTCTCGAGGAAAAATTATTTTATTTAATTTAAGAGGTTTTATATTAGATTGGGTAGTGTCTTTCCTGTCTGACAGGAAACTCAAAACAAAAGTTAACGGAATTACATCCGCAACGTACCGTATCGACATTGGAGCAGCGCAAGGCTCAGTTTTAGCACCCCTTGTATTCATTCTATATATAAGTGATTTGCATCTCTCTGGATTTGTAACAAATTATGCGGATGATACGTCAGTTCTTGTAAGTGGAACTACACGCAATGACATTATTGCAAAAATAAATGGAGTAAAAGGTGAAATGAAAGGGTGGTGCCAAGCAAATCGTTTGATTTTAAACCTCGAAAAGTCAGATGTACATTTTTATACAAACACCCCTATTCTAGCAAATCATGAGACATCGAAAACTACGACATTCTTGGGAATAGAAATGGATGCAAAGCTCAGTTGGCAACAACACATGGACAGTGTGTGTAAAAAGTTGAACCAACCATATTATGCGATTATTAAGCTCAAGTTTTGCTTATCAGAGTCAGCTTTACTAGATGTATATTATGCTCTCGTCCACTCACATTTATCAAGAAACATCATAATTTGGGGACAAGCAACTTCAATTTCTAGAGCATTTGTTCAACAGAAGAGAATAATCAGATTGATATTTAACATTCGTAGAAGAGGATCCTGCAGAGATATCTTCAGAAGTAAAAACATCATGACTCTACCAAGCATTCATATTTATAAAGTGCGCCCTTTTCACACATACAAACAAAACAAAATTTATACAGAACAAAAACATCAACACACATTATAATACAAGGGCAGGTGAGAGTCTGAGTATTCCAAAACACACACTGACGCTGTTCGAAAAGTCACCGGAATACACCTGCATCCGAATATATAACAAACTTTCAGCTAACCTCAAGAATGTCAGTAGTATTGCTAGTTTTAAATGTAAACTACGAAAATTATTAGTTGAAAAATGTTTCTACTCTTTGTCTGAATACCTCGCACTGTGATATATTTTTTTAAACTTTTTTATATGTGAATGTATGTACGCCTTAAGTTGTCCCTGTTTGTACTTTGTAAATACTTGTTGTTTAGTTTTTATTTTTAATTATGTGTAGTATGTACCTCCCTCTTAGGACGAGTCTTATGTCATTTTTTATGATCTACAAGACAATAAATGTATCTATATATCTATCTATCTATCTATCTATATATCTATCTATCTATCTATCTATCTATCTATCTATCTATCTATACTACTCTATTGACTATCCGAAACCTTGCCACGCAGCTGCGGAGGCAGCGACCAACTTGCGACAGATTTCTTCTATTTTCGCTTGACGCTGATTATCAAAATATTTCTTTAGTTCTAGGTTTGAAAGACAAATATACAAGGAAATCTTTGTATCAAATATGTCCAATAGGAGCTTAAAAGTACCGGGGTTGGAAACGTATAAACACACCAGTCTAATGATAATTTGAGTTTTCCGGCACGCGTGTATCAAAGTATATCTCTATCATTCAGGTATGAACGGCAAATGTACGAGGAAATCTATGATGTATGAAATACGTCTAAAATACCAGTGCTGGAGACGTATAAATTGCTAGCAACGAAAATTGACGTGTACTCTCCTCTCCCCCGACAGCCGCCAATATCCAATGTCTCACCCCTTCTAAGTTTTTCTGAAACGAGCTTTGAATTTTTATTTCTTTTTTCTTTGTTTTTTTTGTCTGTTGCTCCACCGAAATTGGACAATAAAAATATATAGGTCCAGTGACACGGTCTTTGGTGGTGTACACGTCATAAAACATCCAAAAGACGTAATATCGCGATTACAATACTTCCTTGAGAGTGGCGCAGCAAGTAAAAAGGCACGCTTCGAGCACCATGACGTCAGAGGTGAGTACTAGGAGAATTATGCCAAGATGAGACCTTCGATATATAGTTCTGTAGAGAAAATGGCTTTGTAGAGGTACCATTTTATTGGTTGAGGCCATGACAAATCTGTAATGATGAAACATTGTACAGTTTTGATGAAGCATGCACTTTTTACGATGCTTCTAACTCCTAAACGCGATGCTAAGGATGTCTTTGAAACGCCCAATAAACACCAAGTTCCATTTCGTAGCAGGAAAAAACGGGGAATTCATGCAAAAATAAAATGTTGTCGGCTTCAGTCAGATTAATTTTTATAATGTACAGGGTGCGGCAGAGAGGATGGACGGTTTTAAAAAAATCATAAAATAATTAGTTTTTACTCGAAAATAAATTGATTGATGGAATCAGGTTCACAAGGAAATAGCATTTGAAACAGTCAAGTGTGGAAAATCACATCAGGCATGTGGTGGCCGAAATCGTTGATGCAGTGCTGGATGCGTTCTTGGAAGTTCGCGTAGACTCTCTCCAACATCGCCCTCTCAACTTGGGCGACTTCCACGCGAGTTTCGCCCTTCAATTCGTCCAGAGTTCGGAGCTTGTTCGCGTATACTCTAGCCTTGAGGTGTCCCCATAAGAAAAAATCGCATATGGATAAATCTGGGGACCGAGGAGGCCAATGAACATCGCCAAACCTGGAAATAAGGCAACCAGGGAAGAGAGGGCGAATAACGTCCATGGATGCTCGCTCCTTATGCAAAATTCGCCTTACCGAACGATCAGTAAGGGGAAGTGCAGCAGCATGTTCCGGGCAGATCGAGTCGGACTGCGAAGAAAGACCTGTCGAACGCGTTCAACATTTTCAGGAGTTCGAACTGTTCGCGGCGCTCCTCTTGGTCTTCTGTTGATCAGTTCACCACGCCTGCGAAGTGATTCAACCCAACGAAGGATAGTGTTTCAAGAGGGAACAGCTGTATTCCGATGAATGTTGAAGTGGCGACGAAACTCACGCTGAACGACGATGACTGACTCATTATTTAGGACGAAACAATCATAGGCGAAAACGCGGTGCTCCACTGTCCAAGAGGCTCCATAACGACAACTCGTAAAATAATGCTAGGATCTCACGAGTCAAACGGCACCCTCCCCACCTCTCTCGTAGACGGAGGCGGAGAGTACTACCCATCCCAAAAACTTCCGTCCTCTCTGCCGCACCCTGTATATGATTTTTAAAAATTGTACTTAGGAAGGATGCTGGGATTACAAGGGCACTACGGCATAGAAAATAAATGGATGGTATAAAATTAGATATAATCTTGCGAAAAAACTAATAATCACTTTTCTCTCTGCTAAAACTAAAACCGTACTAATCATACTATCATACTAGTTAACCCCTGTACTGTCGTGTACAGCCCTTAATTTTACCTTATTTCGTCCGTTTTTTGATCTTTGTACAGAGTATTTAAAAAATCAAAATTCAAGTATCCCAGATCACCCTCAATATTTCTATATGTTTAGCGTCGATTCCTCAACTGTCATACATGGGTGGAGATCAAAAAGAAAACATAGGATAAATAAAAAGTCGTCGATTGCACTCTCATCACGCTGAACTGGGGTGCGAGGGATCAACATTGAAGGTAGCTTATCTTCAAGATTTCGCACAAAAGCGATGGTTGTATAGGCTCCTTTAGTCTAGATGTTTTAGTCTGCAACAATATGAGAAAATATCAGCTTTATTATTCAACGTTCAGCAAAAAATAGCTATTCTCCTACAGTCGTCAGATCTTTTTTATATGGATTTCGATATAACGACACACACCCTGTTCCTATCTTCCCCATTTGTCATAGCTCCAAAAAAAGGACACCCATAAAGTGTCGTTTCATTACAGAGAAGAAAAAATGAGGAAACAGAACGGGAAAGATAAAGACCGTTCACGAATATCCGATTGTATCGTGGTAGGCTACTTTCTTTTGTTGGTAGAGTGGAAATTTTAAACACAGAACGTGGGAATTTTTGCCCATATTTACATGAAAAATATAGATGGTTGTTGAAAGCCTCAAATGTCTCAGTAACTGCAGTGGCGCTCCCAGGATTTAGGTAAGCGTGGTATTTCTTTTACCGGGGGGGCTGGCGAGTACGAAAATGGGTACTTTGGGGTACTGTAGTAAAGATTTTGAAGAATGAAAAAACCTGATCGGCACGATGTAAAAAACCTAAAATCGTCAAAAAAAACGATGAAATGTCATCTTGCAGACTACCTGGTTTTTAAGTGCAAATAGTTCATTCCACGTTTGATCGCTACGATCGCTGTTCGCTGACGTTTAAGCAACACGTACAGCTGCAAAACGGGTTCACAAGTGTACAACAGCTTGTGCTCAGTTAATATCTTGTGGAAAAATCTACGTTATGTCACAAAAAAGCCTACAAAATGTGACAAAAAATAGCGACGAAATGTCACTTTTCAAGATTCATAATACCCGTGCCGGACTGGTTTAAGTTTTTCATGGATTTCAGTAAAAACAGCTTGGCGATCTGCTCATCTAAGGCCCGTATCGTCAGTCGTCCCTACAATTGTAGGGCGCCTTTATGGCCTCCTTGATTGTCATAGTTTTCTACTTCTCCGTGTCAGCGCTCTATTTGGAGGTTATGTCACAAACATCTATTTGCGTCAAATTGTGCTTGCTTTTGAGTTATATCATGTTTTATCAGCCTGAAATTTCCTACAAGTTAAAAAGAAAACATATCTTAACAATAGGAGAACGCTGACGCTGACACGGGATAAGTATAATCTAGAAATTTTTGAAGGAGAGAAAGGAGTATGACAATCAAGGAGGCCATAAACGCGCACTACAATTGTAGGGACGACTGACGATACGGGCCTAATTTACTCAAAAAATGGATTTTGGGCATTACTGCAGATACACAAAAAAATTCAATAGAATGCCTTTCACTTCCTTTATCCAAAATTTCCATTTTTGTTCCAGGTGCCCAGAAGTTAACCAAATTCGGTACAGTAGATCAATTTGGTAGACCCTATTTTGGGTGAAAATTTGAGGTTTTTGGATTCTTTACCTCTCTCCTGTATCTCAAACGGTAAAATGTTGGTAGAAGGTTTTCTTCTTAGAATGGTCTCAAAAATCGGCAGTTAGGAAACACCTTGTGTTGTCTTATTTCCATACGTAAAAAAAGCAATCGTATTAATTTCCAATGCAAAAACCTCGAATGTGAAAGAATGGAAATTAATAACTGAGGAAAAAGCTATCGTGACTGCCGAACTACATAAATTCTCGTAATTCCATTATTCCTAATAATCTTCTATGTTTCTTTTTTACGTATCAACGAAATATCAAATTTTTACAACCCAATCAGATGTTTATAAATATCAAATTAGAGGAGTAGAACCCTCACACCGTGACCTTAAGATGTAGGTTAACAGCCTCTGCACGCAATTCGATAAATCTCGGGCTATAAAATAAACTGCCCCAATAACCATTCGAGAACTGGAGAACAGCCTAAATACGACATCGAACACTAAATTAATTTTCAATGGATGGTTTATTATATTTTGTTTCAATTCTAAAGTCAAGATGTTATCAAAACAACACTTTGGTATCTTGTTCAATTATACGAGTAATGAAGGATAAGGATGCTTTTAATTTTCCTTCCGCCTATCAAAAATATATGAATGCTCTAGCATGTTCTAAAGCGACGTTTTTTCTACCACGAATATAGTCCCGCCACATTCCTCAATTTTTGTATGGTTATACCGGTATTTACCGAATAACATTAGCTTGTAACGACGGCAGGCGAAAATGTGAATTTTACCCCACAATGTACCGCCATTTGTGATCTCCTGAGTAAATCGAGTGTATGGATTCCGCATCTGAAGTCAAATTGATGCTGATATCTACGTGCATTCAATCGACCCATTATCTGCTTCAAATTGGAACACTTCACGATTTTTTTATGGTATTCTGTACCCACACGCTTGTAATGAAACAATAAAGAATAATTTAAAAAACTAAAAATACGCTTTTATAACTAACCGAACTAAAAATTAGAAAATAATTTTTAAATACAAAGAGTTATATAACAGTAGAAGATGGTCGAACAATCAATCATAATTAATGACCTCAAGATACAATTGTAATGAAATTTAAGTTATTAACAGAATAATTCAATTCTCTAGGCAGCAGCGGTGGCCGCAGTTGTTCGAATCCCGTTCCAAGAGAAAGTTTTCTCTTGGCTATGGATGTTGTGATTGTCCGTAGGTGGGAGACGGTCTCTGACTGTCGAACGCGGAGGTACCACCCGGCGGATCTCGTAGGGGGAGCCAGAATGTGTGCATGTAGCATGCACAAGAGTTCCCTCGCCAGAGTCCGTGTGGCGTTCTCCCTTTCCCCTGTATCCTCCTATAGCCCCACAATTCAGATGACGCGCGTCCGGCGCACCTTCGCCTGGCGCTTGCTTTGAGCATAAACAGAATTAATACTAAAGTTGATCTATCCAAGAAAGACATTAATCCAAAATATAAACTAGTCCTGCTCAGTGCGTGATCAGCACGTTGTCATATTTGAATAAACGGGGAACATTACTGTTATTAGGCATAATAGATCGAGCCCATATACAGGACCAGTGCCAAGCCAGGAACGTGGAGTGGGAGACGACATAGCGTTGCATGCAGCCTTGCCGGCCATTGGCATTAGCTCAGGGTTCTAGTGTCTAATCACGCGAAGTTTCTTTCGTCGATAGATGGACTATAGTTGTTCACATGAAAGCGCGTGTCAGGAAATGTACTCGCGTGCGATGCCATTAGACGCCTTTTAATACGCGCGTCAGTCAGCGTCGACGTAGGTTTGGAGAATAGACGTCTCATTTCTCATTGAATACTCAGCTGGCGCCCGTTTTCACAGGGAGGGGATCCTTATATGCAAATTTTAATTGTATGAGCCTGTTTGACTGACTTGGTTTATTTATTTTTTTGTTATACACGTTCGCAGCTTACCTTTTTCTCAATAGGGCCAACTCGTAACGAACATAATCCTCTATGAACCGATAACAGGGTGCACCCAGTGGGGGACCAGAGGAGGTAGATGTTCTCCCTTTTCCCTAGCTTGGCAAAAAATAAATGCAGAGAACATTTTTTACAAAAATCAAAATGAAATATTCATGTACAGAGCTCTCCACAAGTTCCAATGACTATTAGAAGAGTCATTTCTAGGATTATTTGAAATATATGTTAAATATAAACTTAATTTTGCTAAAAGTACTATATATGTTACGCGTGTTTCAAATTCGAACCTCGCCTTTGGGATCTCGGAAACTGTAAAGAGAATGTCACACGAACAGTATTTACTGTCATCCGTACCATCAGTGGATTTCTACGTAACAGTATGCATCAGTAGTTACTGACATCCAGGCTACACGGTAAATAAATAACACATACTGATATTATGACATTTGCCTAAATGACACGTACTGCTTTATGGCAGCAAAGTTGCGCAGGTAAATAAAAAATGAAACTCACAGTATTTCCAAATTTACACAGTCATCTTCATTTTTCCCTGACTTTAGTCCGAAACAAAACTTTTACCACTTTTTCTCTTCTACACAGTGGCATAATTGGAATTTCGATCTTACGTTTCAGCAGCAGTTTTTTGAAATTATACCGTTTTCGATGTCTTCATTAAACTCTTAAATAATATAAATGAGTTACTTTATGTTCTTCCTTATTAAACCTACTCGATGAGGCACATGAAATTACATAGTAGTCCTTAACATGTTATCATCTTTCTTTTATAGTAATGTGTGACATGCTATATTTGAAATGAATTAAAAGGTATTCGCCTATACATAAATGGCATACATGAGAAAAATCAAAGTTGACACAGCAGTTAAGAGACGAAGAGACGGAATAATGTTCTATTTATGCCATCTTGCAAAGATTTAAAGGTGGCAAACAAAAAACGATTTTGAGAAAAATCGTTCCCTTTTCTGTGTATCTCCGGAGATACTCAAAGCATCAAAACTTTGCCACCATTCAACCGACCCTTGTCTCTTACCGTTTCCGAGATCACAGTGGTGAAAATATGACAAATTCTTTTTCAAATCATTTCAGAACAACCTAGGTACGTATACTAATAATAATAATAATATTTATTCACTCAATGTACAAAGATAACAAACAATATGAGTAAATAAATATA